TAATTCACCAATTAATTGGTGATTTCAAGTGTCAGAGTGATTCCATTATAAATTAATATGAAATGGCCCAAGAATTGTTGAAAGAATTCGACCAAGTAGAACTTCAATGTGTCAATATGATATATAATGACATAGCAAATAAGTTGGCTCAGATGGCCTCGGGGTATTCTAATTGTGAATATGGAGTAATATTGCCCGTAGTACAAAGGAGGGCGAATAGAACAGAAATTCAGTGTATTTAGGATAGAGATGCAATAGATTGGAGGGTAGAGATCAAAAGGTTCCTTAAAGGACCTAATAAATGAGGTGATAGATAAATGACATTGCGTTCACTAAATTACACATTGATAGATGAAGAGTTATTCAAAAAACACTCTGATGGGATATTACTAAAATGTGTAAGTTTGCAATAAGCCAGAACGATCATGGCTGAAATACATGAAAGGATATATGGAGCTTATCGAGCTGGCCAAATGATGAGGTGGTTGATTATTAGGAGTGGATATTTTTGGTCCAGATGGGAGAATCGTATTTTCAATACGCGAAAAGCTGTCTAGCATGCCAAAAGTATGGTCCAATACAGAGAGCACCGGCAAGGGAGATGACACCCACTATCAAACATTGGCCGTTAAGGGTTGGGCGATAGACCTAATAAGGAAAATTTATCCCCCATCGTCCAAACAACATACTTTTATTATAGTTGCGACTGATTTCTTCACTAAGTGGGTAGAAGCGATACATTTAAAAGAAATCACTCAAAAAAGTGTCATAGAGTTTATCCGTGATCATATTATTTATAGTGTATGTTTGGCAATGCTAAAAAGCATTTTAACGACCGTTACAAACCTTTCCAAGGACAAAAACGTCTGAGCATTGTGTAGAAACCTATTCACTTTTGGCCATCCGTTTTACACATTTGCCCTCCTCATTTACAGTACACCTACCTCTTCTCCATCCACTTTCTCTCCCCCAAAAGTGTAATGCATTCAACATTTTTCAGTTTCACTACCAGCCGGTCGAAAATTAGGTTCAAGAATTGATTCCAGAGAGGTACCATTCACACAGAGAGTCGAACATCTTCAACCAAAAAAGGCTGATTCCGATCTGCATCAACCTACCCACGTAAATACATAGATGAATTTTGAATTTTCAATCGTCGACCACCTGTGCAACACCAACCTATCATCATGGATCGTCACTTCCAACCGGTAATTGTAGTTTTCCAACGTTTGCTACTCGTAAAGTCGAGTATGGGTTTTTTTTTTGTTTTTTCCGGCATTCTAGTTTGCCGGTACTGACAGGA